TAGCTGCTAAAATTTAGATCAGACCTTCTAATATTTTGGTTTATAATTCAGTTGGTTACCAAATTGTTTTAAACCACATTAAGTGTATATATAAAGGTATATATCTACTGCAAAAGTCATTGTTTATTTTTTTTTTAAAAGAATACTTCAAAAAGGCTTGTATGAAAGTAATAATATGATAGCATATTGTTTTAAAAAGCGAATGGTGTATGCAAAAAATCATTATTTAATGGTAATAAACAAATTCAAAAATAGCATATTTTGTTCCAGAACAGTTTATTCTGTTCATGTACAATATGTGACACAATTTATGTTACATCTCTTCTCTTTCAATAATCAACCCAACAATATAATTTTACCCTTGATAAATTTCATAAAAATATTTCCTAAGATATAGAAATGCATGCATTTAATAAGATATAGCTTTATACCCTTACAACAGTATAATACTATTAGGTACATAAAACTGGCCCTAACAAAATGAAAAGCATCAAGAACAATTATTCATAGTTGTATAATAAAAAAATGCCATAATGAAAAAGTAAAAAATTAGTGTTTAGTGTTGGCATAAATAAATGGAAATTAGTTATTTTGGAATAAAAAATGGTGATGTGGGAGTATACCCCTTTAAACACAATCCCTCATGACTTCGGCGTGCGCACGAGATATTTTGAATATCTCGTGCAATTGCTGAAACGCATACACGGTAGTTCTGACGATGTGAATGTCTTGGAGTGGGGGTGGGGGTATATATTACCAAAATACGATCGCCATTTCCTTTGGTGAACTAAACATAATAGCAGACATGTTGCATTTGCAGACGTTAAGACTGACATGTAACGCACTCCATTTATACGTTGTATAGAAATTGTGTTTAATCGAGTACATCAAGATCGTATACATCAAAATGTCAACAATGAGTATGTTAATTATTTAAAATAGATTCTACAGCTTTATTTTCTTTAAATACTAGTCTGTTTGCCAAAAAAATCTCCTTTTTTTCAGATTTTAATCTGGGACTAATAATGTGTATCTTTCTGTCCCAGTTTTAATCAACTGACTTCCTGTCCTGTTTTAATGACTTCGGCCATCAATCTTATTTACATGTATATGTCCTTTCGAGTTTGGTTTAAACATCAATGACCATGAAACATGAAACTCTTATTCAAAATATGCATGACAGTTATAGTTTGTTCAAGCATGACCTTTCCGCGAGTGAATAATTCATATATTTCCATTATTGCAATAATTTTCAAGTGAGAGGCAGCTTATCTATCATGTATATCACAGACCGGATATGCTGGTTATTGTTTTACACAAGATACATAATCAATTAGTTCAATTTATTGTATGTACATTGTACTCCCAGTGGTTAGGTTTTTATCATAGAATCAGGCTCAAAACGTAAAATTGACTAGTGATAAACTATGCAAGGGGTGGTATATCATATTGTAATAATTATATACGTCCCTGATAATTTACCATTGAAATGTCAATTGAAAATACCTCATCACATGTTTTAAAGTGTTATAAAAGAAAAATTATTATGGTTTAGACAGGGTAAATATATAATTAGTAGGAAGTTAAAAAACTGATAAAACGTAAAGATCTAACACTACAACGATAAAGTAATGATAAAATATTACTAAAAGATATTGCAAAGTTGTATTAAAATCCAGTTATCCTCCCGATTAAACACACCAGATAACCTATAAATAACATTGATTGGTCTCGCAGCATACATTAATCCAGTTGCATTGCAAAAATATGGAGTCATTAATTCAATATTTGTATACTATTGCATACAATATAGTTCAAAGTTCCTTAAAGATGTGATAGTTCAAAGTTTCTTAAAGATGTGATAAGGCAAAACAAACCTTTCAGATGCTTGCGCTTGCAGTATATGAACCAGTGAAGTTTTTTTATATATATTTTACACATGTACACTTAACACAGAAACTCTGCTGTACAGGCCTAATTAACAGAAACAATAAGTGAGATAAGCTTACAATCGACCAGCTAAACATAGTTTACACGCTAGTACACACTTTCTCTGTCGCTCCTGTTTATTTTGTAGACTTATAATTTGCCTCCGCATCAGCAAAATGTATTCTTTTGTGTTACTACCAGTAGATCAATAATGCAAACGTCTTAAGCAATTTGGTAATCAGAAGAATATCTTTTATGTTACTTAATAGATATCTAATACGAAAACAACAACAACAAAAAACAACACTTACCTTCATTAAAATAACAGTGTCTTCCATTGTGACTCAGTTACCCACGCTTTGACATATCGATTGATAGAAGGCGACAGTTGATTGGTAAATGTCGTGTAAGCAGTTTATTGATTGGACTGTAGAGCAAGAGGCGACTTAACCACCCTGGATAACAGTTGATGTGTGATGCAGGACAGATCAAATCGCAGCATCATATAATTTTGTCACGCGCTTAGAAATTTATAAATTAATATATTCTTGAAAGCTACAAATGTGTGTCTTAATATAGATACATAGCTAATATTAGCTTTTACTTTCCGACAATAAAATTACAGTTTTAGAAAGTATACACGTGTATGTTTTATTCATTTATTTAAACTACGATTTGAATTTGAATTCTAAAAATACAACGTATTTAGGTAAATAATGTATTGCATATGCCATTGCTAATTTACAGGTCCATTAATCCCAGAAAATGACAATACTGTTTTAACTTTGGCGTCCTGTCACAGTTTCAAAAAGTACGTTACTCATTGGCCATTAGGTTGACCATATACCTGAATTATTATTTGCTTCTTTTACATTTTAGAATTTAATACAGTTATAGTGATTTAGTATATTATTTGAAAGTCAAAATTCGACTGCTTTAACATTTTGCTAATTTTATGACAATTTTGTTTCACATTAAGAGCTTCTTTTTCGTGTAATAATTGTCGAATGCTCTAAATCCTGTATTTAAAAAATATAAAAAAGAAAATAAATGTACTCCTTTGTGATGATTAATTTATATGCCTTGTTCACGTAAATTATACCTTAGAGGTCATGGCAACAATATTTGGTTGGTTATTCAGAATAAAAATTATTTTAAAAGGTGTAAGAAACACTTATTTGATAAAAAAGGAGGGGGAAAAGGAAAACTAGATTTATGTTAACATGACAAGGATGTCCCCACACCTCAATTAATGGGACTAGCGGAAAAAGGGCAAATATTTAGTGGGTGCATAAAAAAGGTTGAGAAAAGTTTTTCAGCCAGAACTGCCATTACCCGAACAAAGCACCGCATTCCCGATTCCAACACCGCATATGACAATGTTGTAGCGTCTTTGATAAGGAACGGTTAAAGTTTGAATTTAAAAAGAAATATAAAAAATCTCAAAACAAATTTGTCAGAATTGATCGGATGATTATTCATGGGTTGGTAAGTCCGTCCGTCGGTCAGTCCGGGCCAACATCCAATGGTTTATTTAGCTTTATTCTGTCCATAAAACTTGTATATAAAAAAGAAATTACATAAACCGTCGGTTTCAGTAGAAATTTCCACTGTTTATGTAGGAAAATGTCACATGAACAACAAAGAAAAAGCCCATACACCGAACTGATATGTCCATGGCCATCGCTGTATACCTTTGTCGCCATCGTTGTATACCCCTGTCGCCATCGTTGTATACCCCTTGAAGGGTTTTATTCAAACTTGCCTCAACAGAATGATGTGCATCATACAATCCGCTACAGTTCTACATGAAGGTCAAATATCAAACAATTTTGTGTCCGCTCTCTATAAATCCCAACTCCGTTGAAAGACTCTCCAAACGTGGCTCAAATGTTCACTTCAACAAGGCGCTGGGCAGAACCCATGCCGCCGCTTGGCCGGTCAATTGTAAATTTATTCCGCGTATATAATTTGCTCAAATGTTCACATCAACAAGGTGATATGGTGATATGCAGAACCCATACTGCTGATGTGCCGTGTATTCGTCACTCATGTAGTAGAGCTAGTCTGATCTTTTATAAACCATTAGATTAGAAAGGACATCTTTTACTTCTACTACTATTATAATAAATTTATACAGAATCGTTCAAGTTATGGGCGTTATTATTTTATTATTTTTTTTTTGGGGGGGGGGGGGGGTTGTGGTGTGTTTTTTTGTTTTGTTTTGCAATGTCGTCTGGAATTATTTGTTGCTCTATAATATTTTTCATGCTATTTAATATATTAAACATATATTTCAAACACGGGTTTAAGTTCACAGCGTTTAGTCTCACTTATATCACTTATTATTATTTCTTCTTCTGCTTTTTCAAGACACGTATTCATTTTATCCTAAAACTCAGCATATGAATTTTGTCGTTTGTAAGAGCTTTCAGTATTTTCAACAAAGATTTAGGTTGGAGTTTCCTAATAACTGCTTTGGCCAAAGAGAAAACGAGTCAAGAAAAAAAAAAGAGTACCAAGATTCTGTCAACAAAAACGGTTGTTCAAACACGAATGACCACAGCAAGTCTATACAATATGCTCATCAGACTGTTAAAACCATTCTATAAAACAATGACGCTAAACATTGTAAAGAATATGAATGTTCTATTATTGTACAAGTCAGAAATATCAATCCTTAAACTATGAGTGCCGCAATTAGCCTGTCACTAATATAGAGCCAGGCCAGCCTGAACATATGTGCAGTATGACCAGTCTCTTCACTGTTTGGTCTCGTAATTGAAACCCCATATACTTTAAATGGACTGTTCTAAATTCAAAGCAGGACAAATCCATTATACAAATTCAGTAGGTTAAGGGTTATCTACGGCCATATCACGTTAAACACACCGGAATATCGTGCGATCACCGTGTTTAAAATTAAAAAGTCCCGATTTATATGCAGCTAGAGCTTTCTCTCCTATCTTGTATCTTTTCTGTCATATGAAATTTGAGAAGAACGGAAATGTTTGAACATACAAAATTGTGGTTAAAGTGGATAATAGAAATAACTCTCTGAAGTCTATACATATATTTTACATGTTTTATTCCACGAAATACAAATAGTAAGTAATTAAAAAGCGTACATCAAAACTAGACCTATCACTTGAACTAAATTATATTTCCCAACAATTTCACTTGATGAGAACTGAACCAGAATCTCTGAATGACAAGAGGACCATGGTTGTCGTGTTTGGTCACTCACCTGATATGCTTGTGACATAATAAAGGTATTACATGTAATGCATTTAGAAAAACAAGTATGTGGGATTAAAATAAAGTAATAGATCTGTTTAAAACTGTTGCTCTATGTGATTTGTGCTAATTGGCCTATGAAAATGAAGAATTCAGTCCTTAAAGTAATATTTTGTAATTGACATCTTATTATGGCTAATGTACAGATATTTCTGTCTGAGAATTTCTTGTATATTAAGCAAGCGAGTGCTCTTATTTTAAGTTATATTAACATCAAAACCATACATGTCTCAATAATGACTTGTAATTGATTAAACTCCCGTCACTGCTATTAAAATGTAATAAGATTTTTACAATGTTTAACATTCTTCGTAAGTCTGTTTGTTAAATTCTCCAGTAAGAATGTACAAGTTTTCTCAATTACTTCTATACATACATGTTAATATACTGAAACAATGATAATGGAAAAACAATCATTTGTATGTGTTATTTCATTTATCTTCCGTGTATGTGTTGATAATATTATCTTATCTTTCACTCACTATAAATGTAATTAAAATGACAGTAGTTCTACCTATGGAAAGATGACATGTGTATATTTTTTCCTACCTACTATGTGGTATTTTTCAAACTATAAGAATGAAATTTCACATCTACAAACACAAATGATGGTGCAAGTACAAAAAGTATGAAGATGACAGTTGATGGCTATTTACATCAGTATGGATATGACAATGCTGTTATTGGTCATGACTAAAATTATGATAAAAACAAGAATGCTACTGTGGCCATATACTGCTCACCTAAGTAGTAACTTAAAATATCTTAGGTTGAATTTGAAACAAATTCTATCAACAAATTTGTAACTTCAATGTAAAGTCTGCTTCTTGGACACTGCAGAACTAATGTTACCGGGAAAAAAACACAAATGTTATTCCAAGAAAGGCTCTAACAAACTATCCTTGGATTGAAAGATAAGACATACTGACCACTAGGCCACTAATAATTCTCTTGTAACCAATCAAAGATAATTTGTGGCATTTGGCTTTTTACACCATGATTTGACTATAACTATCTGTAACTATAAAATCTGGAAGGCTAATTCTCAAGGCTATGTCAATATTTTCAGATATTAAGTATGTTTGTTCTGGTTTCCATACAATAACCTAATTTCAAAAAGTCTGAACAAGATACAGTTGTTAAAAGTAATTGCATTGAAAAATATCTTGTTTTTTAGATTTTTTCTCTAACAGACATTCAATGATCCTAAATGTTCAGCACTGAGCACTTTATGCTCAGGTGAGCGAGTTTTTAATATGATGTTATATGCCTTATATAAACATGATGGTATATGCCTTTTATAAACATGATGACAATGTGAACATTCAAGTTATAATTAAACATCTATTAAAATCATTATCTTTCTTATTGTTACATGTATTACTTCTTAAAAACTTACTATACATACAGATAAATCTTATTTTAAAAGTGTTTACAACAAAAACTGGCCTTTAGTTGAGAAAAAAAAGAATAAACCCTACATCTTATAGAGTTTAAACAACAAAATAGCATAATTATACTGACACTAAAATAAATCCCCCATAAAAAAAAAAACAGAACAAATCATACACAAGCATGGTATACAAACCTGGTATAGTAATAAAAATTTAAGCTGTCTCTCATAGCACCAACATTACACCAACAACATTTATACCAGGACCATAACCCCACACAATAACCCTTGTTCAGTTTTTATAGAATTCGTTAACAGCATTCTAGAAGTAAGTTACTTTAAAAAAATGCCATGCTTGAGCATTTTGGGATTTATTTATGTCTCAGATTGTAATCTAAGTTCAGTTCAATGTTCTTTATTAATGTTTCTTTTTTATCATCAATTTATTAACAACAAATTTACCTAAAAACAAATAATGAATTCATCAATATTCATAATATAACTCAATAGTCATTCATCGGCATTTAACTTCTCATGATTAGTTTATTCAAGAGTAATGTGCAATTGTGGTAGTTATCTCGATTGACCTGCTGGAAGTGAAATTCCAGAACAATGTGGTATTTATCTCGATTGACCTGCTGGAAGTGAAAATGATGAACATTACCACCAGAATTACCAGGAGCATTACCTCTACAAGAGCTAGGCCAGCCTGCACATCTATAACTGACCAGACTTCAATTAATATTTTAATATTGGAAATTATTTATGAAATTATAACTGTTACTAATATATTTCAGTCAGACTAATTCTTGTCGTTTTATGCCATTTATCTTATTGGCAGTCTTGAAAATTTTGCATAAAAATTGAAGTATACATATGAAATACTGTTCCAATATGCTTAGTATTTGGTCTTGTTTCTAATTTATGAACTGCATACATTTGTTTCATTGTATACAACATTTTAAAATAGCCAAATATCCATTAAACAGTGGCCAAATGTTATGGTACAGTTCACATTGTCAGATCCCATAGGTTTGAATGACTTAGTTACAATTAAATACTCTATAATGGTGGTAGTTCCAATTAAAATTTTAATATTGGAAATAATTTATAAGATTTGAATAAACTGTTGTTGTTTTTCCCACAAGTGAAAACACAAATATATCATTTCAAAGAAGTCATGTCAAACAAATACAAAAAACGTACCATTATCCAGAAATTTTGCTAACAGACCAGTCTAATTTAAAGCAATTTCATTGGTCCATTTCATATTTAAATTTCTTAAAAGCAGCCCATCAGAAGATATGTAATAAGACAGGTATAACATTTTAAATATTAATGCATTGAATGCTACTGATATAAAAATGTATTCAAACATTTACAATAGACGTTTATTAGAAAAGACTAGAATTTCACTTCTTGTAAAAATATTTCATTTACTACTTTTATACAAAGCAACAAATAAAGTCATCACTTTAAATGACATCCCAAAACAAAAAAATGCTCTGCCATGAAGACCCAATATACATATACAAGAATTATCAGTATATTTTCAACAGACTTCACAATTTTGATAAATAAATTCTTAAATTGCCAACATGAGTAAACTGAGGTACAGATATAACATGACTTATGTGATTAGTTAAGAGCCACGCTAGTCAATAGTCATGACCAGTCAATATACTGATAGATGTTTAATGGTAACTTTTCAGTTGTAAAATCCCATAATATTACAAGGTATAGTCCTAACAGGAAAAGTCTAACAAAATGTTCAATTAAGCATCAAGCTCAAAATTTTGAGGACACTTGAGGAACATGTCTAAATAAATTCAGTTTAACAATAAAACTGACAATAATATCAAAATGAAGATAACAAAAGCACTGAGCATATACATGTATCAAAATGACTTCAATTTTCCCTTAACCAAAAAAACTATAAAGGTAAAAATGATATAAGTATGAAATAAAAAATTACTGAAAGCTCAAATGTTAACATAAAAAGATACAGGGAAATTTGTCCATTCCCAATATCAATATTTTCAAACACAAAAAACCTTAAACTATGTCCATACCAGTATGAAACAGCATATAAGAAAAAACATTACAAAGTATAGTAGCAAAACTTCAATGAATCGACTTCTACAAAAAAACTGTGTACTTTATAACATTTTTTTTATCTGTGCATTATCTTTTTCTTTGAAACAGACCAGCTCAATGACATTTCACACTTGACACTGCATTTCTTATAGATTTCACACTTATATATTCATTGTATTTATACAATACAGACTATTTCACAATCCAAACAATATAATGTATACATATGTTACTATAAAATAATACAAATACATCATGTACTCAAATGATTGCACCTATTAAACATGTATACCATATACACATTTCATCAATATATTTGAAAACTAAAAATCATAATCAATGATCAATTCATATACAAATCCAATGGTCAACATTGTTGAATCTAAATTTTATGTAAAAAAAATGTATACATTTCATTAAAAAAAACAAACGTTTTATTTAAATATAAATAGAAAAAATGCCCGTTTATTGATATATTCCCTCTTAGCTTCTTTGCTGTTTTGTTGTTGTTGTTTTTTAAATCATTGTTCATTCTATACTAACATTAAGCCTGCTGACAGGGTTTTCCAGATTGAATTATCTATATAAAATATTCAGTGTAGTAAGGTTAATTTAAAAGAAACATTCAAAACATGTCTCTCTAGCAGATATTTTTAAAGAGTAAATACTGATAAAATTCTCAGGACAAATGAAATTTAGAAAAAAAAATCATCTTACCATATACATGTATTCTCAATACTTTTATCCCTACCCTCTCCAAAAATGAGCTAATTTCTTACTACTAAATAAATCTACTTGTTAATTGTAACTGATTAGAAAAAAAACCAAATGTCTGTTTTTACAAGAAATAAGATTTGTAAAACTAACAGATAATACATAGTATCGCCTTTAAGAAGTACACAATAAATGTACAAGGTTTCATTAATTAGAAAAGATATTGGGAAATCATTTTCATTAAGAAACAAAACAGGTGGTCCTTTGCATGTCTCTCTCACATTAATGAATTCAACATTTATGCCTGATTTTCCACTCAAACCAGTTAGTGACAGGTAACCCTGACAATTTAGCTAGGAAAGGTAATTATTCATAGAGTTTAGGCAAATATCAGAATGAGACATAACATGAATGCACAACTGAAAATTGGTTCCCAGCATATGACCTTGACCTTATATAGAAAACAAAAAATTATGATACTGCGAACACAATTAAGCCTTTAAAACAAAGACTTCAAGAATATACCATAATATTGTCTCTCCTATAAAAATTCTATATGTTAACATCTGAATGATATGTACATATGACCTCATATAAATCAAAATACAATCAACATATTTCTCATTTCTGTTGTACGACTTTAAGCAATGCTTGTAACAACAGCATCTAGCCAACATCACCAGAATAAAATCAGGCCTGCCAGTATATATACATTGTCAGACCAAATACTGTACTGGTGGTTGTTCAGGTTAACTATTTAATGTTAAAATCCCCCCTACCTGATAGCTCTGAAAGCAAAGCAAGCTCATTATATAAAACTTTACAGTGTAACTTAAAAAACTCAATTTGACACTTCATTTTCTCTATTCTTCTAAACATTTATAAAAAATAACTTTTAGAAGTACTATTTAGCATACACATTATATTTTATATAAATATATATGCATATATATGCATCCATAACTATATTATTTCCTACACCCGTTTATATGGAAATGTCCTTCTCCTTACTAAATGTTACGATGATATAAATGGACAACTAACGATGTATAACATAGATAAAGTTTAACCATGGTTTGATTTTTCCATAGGTATACTGATGAATAGGAAGAGTAAACAAAACATAGCATGGAGGGCATTCTAATTTAGGTCTAGTGTATATCAGGGAAAACAATGACATGAATTTTGAATTACATAGGAAGTTTTTACCACTTCACAATAAAAATACATACAAGGTGACGTCCGACACCTTTAGATCTACAGGTAATCTTGTCTCATAAAAACATTTACAACTCAATGCAAAATTTACAACAGAATCCATGGAATTTTTTATAATGTTCACATGAAAATGTTTTGTTTAAATTCCATTAATACAGTGAAAGAACACATTGTGTATAACTATCACAAATTGACTACACATCCAGGTCTTTTGATGGCTGCTGTACGATGAAAGGTTCGTTCCACATTCTCCTTAGATCACCCTGAAATAATAGTTCAACATTAAAACAATGTGTCAATAAATATTCATAACTTCATACAAATTTAAATGCCACAAAAATCTTCAAAATCCTTCAATGCATCCTTTAATATAGAAGTCTTGGGCTCTGACAAAATAGATAAAAACATGGTCTTAGTTTAATTGAGCCTGTTCTAATTAATGAAACTGTGTACATTTATTGCACAAAAGGAAACATTAAGTATTGTAAGTTAGTTTTTACAAATATCAGAAATGTAAAAACAGATGGTTTTTTTTCCTAATCAATTTCAGTTAACAAGTATATCTATTTAGTAGTAAGAAATTAGTTCATTTTGGGGGTAGGGGTGCAAGTATTCAGAATATATGGTGAGAAAGGGGCTATTCATGTTTTTTTTTAATTTGTTTGTTTGTTTCTCTTGTTTTGATGCCAATTTGACAAATTCTTGTTTATATCTATGCAGTCAGACCACCACAATAAGCCATGGTCAATAATGATTATATTTTTTTGAACTTACGTTAAGTCATAATTTGTAATAGAATGAGTTGAATACATACCATCAAATAATCAATGGTCAGTTAAGACACTAATATTTTTTCAACTTACTTTCAAATAAGCAATGGTCAATAACGGTTACAGTGTTTTAAACTTATCTTCAATTAAGTCATGATTTGCAATTACAAAAGTTTAGATACACACTATCAAATAGTTTCAATAATATCAAATCAGTTATGATACTAATATTTATTTCAACTTACTTTCAAATAAGCCATGGTCAATAATGGCAATAGAGTGAATGGAACTAGGTACAATAGAGCAGGCTGGGCAGCTTTGAACACTTCTGATGACACTGTAGCAGTTAACAATCCTGAAATAATAAATTAACTGATTATTGAGAACAGGTATCCAACTTTTAAGGACAAACACCCACTTTACGTTTTAATATTGGAAACAATCCTAAATCCTAATCAGAGTTTTTTTGTTTTTGTTTTCTTTTTTGTTCATTTCACTCAAGCACAGTAAATGGTCATATGGCCATTTTTTCTGCTGTACTGATGGAGGAATACCTTCAGATGTCTCTCTATGCACTATTTCATGTACAAGTGGGCACTTGGAGAAGAAACACATTTCATAAGCTTATTGCAAAGCTTCCTCACATAAAGAATCCAAAGTCCCTTAACTGGAAAGGGTAAACACAAAAAAATCAATATTTTAATTCAGAATTTCATACCGTTAAAAAATTATGCTTTTGAATAAAAATTCCTTCACAAAATATCATTTCTTTAATGTCTAGATGCATTTTGTTTTTCTGAAGGGGTCAGGCCTTGTATTTTTTTATAGAAAGTCATAAATTGAACTATTTCACTTAATCTAATCTTTAAGATGATCTTTTTCAGACTTTATTTGCAATAAAATCTGATTTGTTTTACTCAATTTATGAATACATGGAAAACTTTTCATTCATTAAAATGAATTACTATAATAATAAATCTGCCTATACATATATATTATATATGCTAACACTCCTCATGACTTGTCACTATAGACAAAGAAGAAAAAACAGGTGTTAAACTGCCAATAAACACTGGTTGGGGACTACTTTAATATGCAGCTGTTATGTTACATTGTATCATAAAATCACCGTATTCCGTGTTAACACTTGTCTGTCAAAAATTCAAAGTTAAAAAGGGGCATTACTCCAAAAATATAGCTGTCAGAATTATGTCCCTTGTCTAACAACTGCATCTTTTCAAAATAAACAAGTATTTCAAGTTTCATGTTGATAACTTTTGACAAGTTTGAATAATCTGAACAAACAAGCTAAAAAAAAGCATACCTAGAAAGTATCCTATAAGTGAACAGTGGAAGTATGTGATTTTTTGTACATAAGTAGGTGGTGGAGGTATTCCTTGCTCCATACTGTTCAACTGTGCCCTCTTGTAAGCATCATACCTCAATACAAAACACAATAATAGACCTGGCATTACCTGTCAAACAAAATAATAGTATATCATATAAAATTGTTCACTCACAACTAACAAAATGAACAGAAATGGCATACCAAACTAGAACTTTGTCAAGAGTGACAAATATTCCCACCATCTCTATAACACAGGATTTTATGTATCAGTCAATAATCTTTTGAGTTATTAATCATGTTTGATTTTCTTGAAATATTTTTGTTTACCTGAAGGCATGTGGCTTTATGAGCATTTTCTTTAATGTTGATGACCTGTTTGTAGCTCAAAAACTAGTAAAATCAACTTGTACAATGACTTTTATGGGATTTCATTTATTTTTTTCAACTGAAATTATGATAACCATTAAATGCTTGCCAGAATGGACAGACCAAAATTATTTCAATATAGCCCCCTCCGCATTTCTATGTGGTGGGGTGTAAAAACTACAATCTAGTAGTAAGATGTAGCAAATACCTTCTTTGTCATACTATCAATATACATGTACTATCAATATAACTCAGTGTTCAACACTAATGCAGTCCCGAGGACTCCAAAAAATTGGCAATGGATTTCTAAGGCTCCAAGTCAGATGTCCTGTTGGGACATTTAATAACAATTATCAGATGTGTCTCTGATCCTTTACAAATTTTTGACTCGGAAATAAAAATGTCCTGCTTTCAATTGGAACTGCCCTCAAGGCCTCAAGATAGAAATTTTAGTATCTTACAGTGTTAACCCTTACTTTACCTGCTGAATTTTTTTAATTGACTTGGCAAGCTTCAAGATAACAAGCAGTCTATATAAATCTGGGTATAACACAATGAGAAATGAGAAAATAACTTACAATATCACCAAGGCCCAACATAGAAAAGTGACTAGAATTCTGCATGCTGTAAAAAAAGAACAGGTTTGAATTTATCAACTGTGTAATCCCAAGTAATTGTAAAATAAAATAAAATTCTATTAACATACAACAAATAACAACAGTTTAATAATTTTACAATCAATTAAGCATTTCAGTTTCAATATAGGTTCACACATAAAAGAATGCAACACATCATTTGAATGAATATTATTTTGATTCACATCATTTTAATGAAATAACCAAATTGTATCATACAAGATAAAAGAGGTCTTGTAATATTGTGCTATAGATATTATCAAAAAGAAGATTAATTTGTTATGGATAAAAGACAGGATTTTGAAACTTACAAAAATAATTTTTGAAATTGAAAAATACTTATTCTAAAGCTGAAGTTGTTATTCTTTCTTATTACCCCTCACTATTTTGACTATTTATATCATGTCACAGTATAGCATGGTATGAAATATAATAATTATGAATGATTGTATACCTTGGAAAGACAAGTTTTCCTGGTAGAGACAGTTTAGGAGCTTCTCGCGCTAACCCCGTGAAGTGAAATTTCTTAGCAAGAAGTCCAACCTGAAAGTACAATTTTAAATGTAAAATATTTTAATATCTTGCTTATCAAATTAAAGTATGTCCAACTTATCAGGAAACATTTGTCGTAAATGAACTTTAAAGTATGTTGTACAAAAATAAGCAAATGCAGAATAACATAGAGTGAAGCAAGTTGGTTTTGCAATAAATACAATTGATCCTAAATATTAAAATCATCTGACCCCAACATTAAACTTTCTGACCCCAAATATTAAATTTTCTCAGAATCTGCTCAAGATGTTATATCATTCTGACTATCTTGAAGCATATACCATTTTGTTAGATAATCTGGTAATACATTATGTCTAATATAAACTTGATATACTTACAGGGTTATCAGCCGGTCTTGTGGCCACCTTCACCATTACATTAGCACTAAATATGTAAGACGAGAAAAATACCTGCAAAATAAAATCTTATGTCAATTTCATTTTCACACAGTTGTTTTAAAACTTACTGGAAAAATATCTGCAAAATAAAATCTTATGTAAACTTCAAACAGATTAAATAGAGGATATTTGTTTTGTTCAGTGTAAGATCGGAATATATTTCACCGAGTGAGCACCAAAAGGTATATTTCACGAGTGGCGCAGCCACGAGTGAAATATGAACTTTTGGTGTTCACAAGGTGAAATATATTTCAATCTTACACTAAACTAAACAAATTTTCTTTTTATTACATGCAAAGAAACGTTTTAAAAAGACATTTAACCTAATACTTAATGAAAAGCGCGGCAAATAATAATACAACGTGACGTCATTTACGACGTTACGTCATTAAGTTGGTACCCAGTACTGTGCACGCTGGTATTTCACTGAAACAACATAAGGGGCTTAAATTCAAAACAGTGAAATTATCAAAGTGGTAATTTCACTGTTTCAAACAGTGAAATTACCAGTTTTATATCACTGATATATTTCTATAAACCACCGAAAAGCATGTAATAAAAACAAATAGTTATATACTTATTTCTGCAATGACATTATACATAACCATATAATAAATCATTTAGTTGGCAGCTGTTACATTATACTCCCCTGTACTGGATACTCAATGAGGTATATTGTTTACAATAAGTAACCTGAAATACTACACCTTATTTATAAAATCATTAGAAATCATTATCTCTTAATGGTATTATCTTTCAGAAGGATAATTAATACTGCACTCAAATTAATATTTAGTAATTAAAATATATTTTCTTAGTCCAATAAACCTAAATTTATTTCTCAAACATACAAAATTAATAAAATCTACAATAAAAATCAGCAGGTAAAAATATTCAAAATATATCCTTCATAAAAATACTTTTATAAAAAGGTTTCTGGTAAAAGCATGACAAATTCATCTTTTCCAATTTGAACTTTTACCGAGCTTAATTTGCATCAATGAATATGCCATGCTTTCAATTTGAAAATGTAAATTGCTATTTTTAAGTGTTTCAAAATAAAAACTGAAATTTTGTAGTTTAAAGTGCTCAAGTTTAAATAATTGTAATGTTTAATCTAGATATTTACTTACCCAGAATACATCATAAATAAGAAGACCAACAAGTAACAGCGTTGACACTTTAAGACTCGGGAGTCTAACAAGGGCAATAAAAGCTACGCACAATCCCATTCCTAAAGCTGGAGACAAAAATAGAAAATATTCTTTTTTAAAGTATGCCACAACTAAATACAAGGGAGACAATTAGGCATGAAACAAGGGAGATAATAATGCTGACCTGAATCAAACTAGAAATGTGTCCATAGGACACTGATGCCCCCACACGCCACTGTTCTGTAAATCTTATGACTCTAGGTCAAATATTTTTTGGACTACATGTGCCACAAGTTGAAAACTAAAAATCAACAAAGGGCCATAATTCTGTTAAATTTGGTCGCAGCAAAAAATCCTTCCTTTACTACGATCTACACAATAAGGTTGTTAATCCCTGGAAGTTTAAGCAAAATCTGCCATCTGGTTTAAGAGGAGTTGCGTTCACAAAATTTCTATATAGTATATAATAAAAAAATCAACAAAGTGCCATAATTCTGTTAAATTTGGTTGCAGCAAAAATTCCTTCCTTTACTACCATCTACACATTAAGGTTGTTCATCCCTGGAAGTTGAAGCAAAATCTGCCATCCGGTTTAAGAGGAGTTGCATTCACAAAATTTCTACATAGTATATAGTGAAAAAATCAACAAAGGGCCATAATTCTGTAAAATTTGGTCGCAGCAAAAATTCCTTCCTTTACTACCGTCTACACCTTAAGGTTGTTCATCCCTGTAAGTTTAAGCAAAATCTGCCATCCGGTTTAAGAGGAGTTGCGTTCACAAAATTTCTACATAGTATAGAGTGAAAAAATCAACAAAGGGCCATAATTCTGTTAAATTTAGTCGCAGCAAAAATTCCTTCCTTTACTACCATCTACACATTAAGGTTGTTCATCCCTGACAGTTTAAGCAAAATCCGCCATCCAGTTTAAGAGGAGTTGCATTCACAAAATTTCTACATAGTATATAGTGAAAAAATCAACAAAGGGCCATAATTCTGTAAAATTTGGTCGCAGCGAAAATTCCTTCCTTTACTACCATCTACACCTTAAGGTTGTTCATCCCTGTAAGTTTAAGCAAAATCTGCCATCCGGTTTAAGAGGAGTTGCGTTCACAAAATTTCTACATAGTATAGAGTGAAAAAATCAACAAAGGGCCATAATTCTGTTAAATTTGGTCACAGCAAAAATTCCTTCCTTTACTACCATCTACACATTAAGGTTGTTCATCCCTGTAAGTTTAAGCAAAATCTGCCATCCGGTTTAAGAGGAGTTGCGTTCACAAAATTTCTACATAGTATCTAGTGAAAAAATCAACAAAGGGCCATAATTCTGTTAAATTTGGTCGCAGCAAAAATTCCTTCCTTTACTACCATCTACACATTAAGGTTGTTCATCCCTGTAAGTTTCAGCAAAATCTGCCATCCGGTTTAAGAGGAGTTGCGTTCACAAGATTTCGGGACGTACGGACGGACTGACGGACGGACTGACGGAATGACAGACGGACGGACGGACGGACGGACAAGTGCAACGCTATATGCTCCCACATTGTGGGGGCATAAAAATGATGGAGGGTTATTGTACCTTTTTTCTTGCATTAACATCTGCAAAAGCACATGGATATATTCAAAGTACATATGTTAATGCATCAAAAAGGTGAATAAGCGCTATTCTTGCATAAAAATGTATCAGTATCTGCTTAATTAGGTAATTCCCTGTTTCATTATCAGTTCTTTGCTTTCCATGTGCTAGTATGAAATTATTTGGCAGGTATTTTTTGACAATAAATCTGACAGGGCTGTCAATGCAGTAAGCTATTTCTGGTTATGCATATTTAACATGCAACAATGAAGAGTGCTTTTGTAATTTCACTCATTATTGCATGTTTTCTTCTCTGCAATCTGATTAAAACCATCTCCTAAATAATGCTATGCATTAGGAACTGAAGATCTGGAATAGGTTGTCACCTTCTAGTGATTTTTCAAACAGGCAATCATCTGCAAGCTTTCACAATTTTGAAAGCGATGCGGTTTCTTATTTTAATCGCTGGAAAACCAATACTGAGTAGGAATTTTTCATTATTTCGAGAACAAACATGGTGTTGTCCATATAGCCGGCAGGTAAACTGGCAATACAATCTTGCCCATTAAAAATTGACTCTATTATTTCCAATTTACTTGTTTCAAATTGTTTAAGAGTTTTCTTTCATAAAAAAAAAAATCAACAATTTTTTTTTACTTCCACAAACAACGAAACTTTGATACTTCGTTGAATGCCTATCGGTAAAAACCAGATTGATAGCATGACAAAAAATATCTTTCTCAGGAACTCAGGATCATAATGAAGACGAAACATATACAGTGGTAATAAGATCTACATGTAAGAAAAAAGTAGATCTGAACTTTAGTCTTCTCGGTAAATGTACATGTACACATGTGCGCGCAGTTTTTATACAAAGATTCAAAGATCAACAGAAAAGTTAAGAATACTATTTGACATTAAAGATAAAATTAAATTACCTTCAGCCCTATGTACTTATTCCTATAAAACATTTATTTCATAAGATCACAGGATCAAAAAAATTACCTTAAGATGTAATAAAATTAGAAACATTGCCATAAATCATGAAATCTGACCATATTATTTCAAGCAAATTAAATTTCATTGTCAATTTCATCTACTACACTCCTACATAATTCCTACATTCAATTAGTTTTGTCAATATTTATGATGTTCATACTTTATTACTATACTTATTTATGAACTAGAATTCAATGGTTTTTTTTTGAGTTTCAGGAGAAATATTGTAAAGTCCTTTTACTTCAACAGAATTATATTTCCTTGTTTGGCTATGACTATTCCAGCTGAATTCTGTAAAAACATACTTAAGATGCAATGAAAATTTGAATTTTATTACCTTTGTTCTAGATTCAATGTTTAAATTTGCTACAGGTATGAATCTTTTTTTGTTTTTAGTTTAACGTCGCAACAACATTGCAGAGGTAATATAGTGACTTTCCAGCTTAACTGGTGGAGGAAAATCTTGGGTGCCCTCTGTGCAATATTTCAGGCACGAATATATACATGAGTAGAACTACCGATGTTCCATAAGCTAGCTAGATAGCTTCCTCACATGAAAGAATTCAAAGTCACCGAGAGGATTTGAACCCACAGCAGTGAAGGGCAGGTGGTTTGAAGTCAACAACCTGAACCACATGGTCACAGATGCCCCATTTAAGTTATGAATCAATCTTAACATCATAAACACCATTAAACTGGGTATCAACAAAACTTTTATATAGTTTAAAAGGTTCCAGTGCTATCTATTCATAATTTCAATTACTAATGGATACTAGAACCATCAACAGTTTCTATCCAATATACAATGCCACCAAGATGCATCAATCTGACAATCAATCCCTATTTTATCATTTCATTTACAAATTTGAACAGACAGCACTGCTGGTATTAGTCTCCTATTTTACCTTTAATCCAGACCAAAAATGGTCTAAATATTCAAGCCAGTGTGGAATCCTGAAGAGATTACGTACAAAGCATTATTTGCATTCACTTACCATCCATTAGAAGCCAGTGGCCTGTAAGAACCCAGACACATACAAGTATAAAAGATAAAAAGAAAGACATCAGTTCAGCTGCTGTGAAACGTCCACACAAACCAAACGATATCCTGAAATACACAATATGCACAGAATATTACAAGAGCTTTCAGAAGGGCAGTATGCTGTGAAATTCCCAGTGCGACATCATGGGCCTTGGACAGTGACCTATTATGCTCTCAAAATAAGTGTGTTATAAGTGTGTTTCATACCATTCCAATTTCTTACCATTCCCTTAAGAAGTTTTGGAGATACCAACTTGCACAAAAAAATTGTGACACAGATGCCTGAGTGAATACAATACTAGTGTTCTTCAATTAGTCAAACCAAAAAATTGGAAACCAAAATGAGTCAACATAATGTGTTTCTGAATCGAATGAATACCCCATCACATTGTTAATGACCAACAGTTTGAATTTAGAAAATCTGACCTTGAAGGTCAAGTCAAGGTCATTTAGAGTCAAGATCGTATCTTGAATTTTAGTAAACATAAGACACATTGCAATTTGCAATGATTCAATTAAAGAATGCATGTGTCATCTCAAGTCTTCAACTTCAAATATTTCTTCTTTTTTCTAAAAGAAAAGATATTGAACATGTCATGTGCAAGAAATTATTTATGTGTCAGTCAACTTGACAAATAATAGTCTGCACCTTTCAGCTTTACACTTAAATTAACCTACATTTATTCTTCATGAGAATGCATAAATAAGCAAGTTAATATACACATTTAAAGAGTAATTACCCTTACACAACCATATAATAAATCATTTAATTGACAGCTGTTACATTTTACTCCCTTGTAGAAAGTACAATAACATTCAAAGTCTGCATAAGTTGTATAATAATGAATTTAATGGCAATTGATCTGACCATTTGTCTAAAGTTTATCAATTAATAAATTATACAAAGTAATTATTTGTGACTGAACCATAAACATAAATATTTGATGACAAAAGCAGTCTAGCCTAGTTTTCTGACAAACATAGAGGGATAAACTATATTATAGCATAAAATCGGCTATTTTTCCCTCTTTTGCCCATGTTATAACGGGGCCAAAACCATGCGTTAACATAGTCACGCGCTCTTGTTATAGCCCGGTTTTACCTATGCGCAATACATACAGGGCCAAGTAAACAAACAAAAAAATGACGATTTGGCTAGTTTGCTAAAGTGTTATATTGAAATTATTGATTCGAGGGCCTCAATCGCACAACGGCGAGCAGCATACAAGTAACTATGCCGGAAATACGGCGTATAGACATCGCCGCTTATCTTGGTTGTCGCCCTTTCTAAGAAACGGACAGTTGTCAATGTAAACAAATAAATGTCATTCAGTTTAACCCTCAAATTAACGTACAAAACAAGATAACACAAAATGAATTTGAGAAAATGTTGATTTATTGATGTTAGTATTGATAAGTGCTATTTATATTTCTTTGAGAGAATAATGTTTAGTGCCTGGCTGATATTCTTTTATAAACTTGTGAGCTTGAAAAAAAAAAAAACGATTCTGATGTCATTGATCTTTTTTCTACCGTCAATCTGAGAGTCATGTTTCATCTTGGGCAGAGTAATTTAATGTTTTTTTTCTTGATATCTCTAATGATAAGCTTTGTAAAATCAATTTAAATTCGAAATTTCGTTCGGTTCTGAGCATTTGTATTTTCCAAGTTGTTGGCCCCGGAAAAATAAAACGCATACGTAAAACATATAGAGTTGGATAAATACCGTCCAAGAACAAGGATTTAATGTATGTGCTTTGTAATTAATATGCGTCGTGAATCTTTTTAAAAAAATTATGCTATAATAGCGTCAACGCACGTTTATTTCGTGTTATAAAGTCTGCAGAGTCCCTCGGAACTGTTAGAGCCCTGGCCCTACCGGACTCAGGCACCAACCGTTCCTCAGGACTCTGCAGACGTTATAACACGGAAAAACGTGCGTTAACCCTATATAAGAATATACTATGTTTGGTGGGGGTATCATTAACCTATACACAAAAATATCATAAACAGCTGTTACATTTTACTCCCCCATAAAATGGACACTAATATTTTAAATCATGCATAATATGAAGTATATTATAGGTGAGTATGATACTGATTATAGCAATTTGGATACCTGTATAATATAGTATATGACTTAATATAATAGGGATTTAGTATTTACATATTTCTGTAAATGACTGCTTTATATAAAGTTTCTGATGACAAAAGCAGCCAATATTAGAAAATTGGAAGTAAGCCAACTATTACAGCCTAAAAAAGATGTACATACTGGCCTGTCTTTTTTCAAAGATATTAAAGAGTCAACATTTAATCTATTGTACCAAACAATTACTCACTTTTGACCAGTTGTACATGGCCTCATTAAATACTGACACATTGGAAGCAACAAGAATGCAAAAGCCACTGTAGCAAGCACTGAAAAGAAACAATGAACAACTTTAAATTACTGTAATAATATTTGTTTTTCACATTATGTTCAAGAGAAATGTTATTACTTTATACGGCTAAGCTATAGCATTTAGTCAAAATCAATTTCAAACAAGTAACAAATCTTCTGAAGAATAACAAGAATTACAATATGGAGAACATTTAAAACTGTTAATATCAGCTACATGTATTTAATAAAATTATGCTTAGAGATATTTTAAACAAATCATTCATTTAATTTTTTTTTTTGGCTGATTAAAATAAACAAAACATGTTTACTGGCATAATTATGGTGATATATATAAGCTTGAACTGTACATTAGAAACCTTATTTCACTCCCAGCTTTCCTGAATTAGGATTTTCTTGGGGGGTTATGAAATCATGTAGATTGGGCAGAAAAAACAACAATGATTTGAGATGCATGAGCAGGCAGAGTATGAATTCTTATAATCCTTGGGAAGTTTTGAAAACCATTTTAGGGAAAATAAAGGATATTTTCTGCTAGTACATCAGGTCTGTTTAGATTACCAGACTTATCTCAAGACAGAGAAGGAAAACACTGTTCAGAAAGATCAATGTCATCCTTCTATGTATTCATCAAAGCCAATTATCAAACAATTAGCTGGGTACAATCTGCTCATAAGAAAATAGCAGAGGTGGTGAAGGGAAAATGACAGTGCCATTAACACTAAGCCAAAAATGCCTGTAAGATAAATGGAAATCCAAGGGGAACAACTAACCTGCTGTACATATTGCGAAGACCATTTGTAATGAATCAAAAAACAGGAACATAACAAGTAATGAAATTGATGCTCCTAAAGGCAAGAACGCAGCCTGGCATGTGTCTATTGTCTGTACATCTGAAATATCAATATATATATATATACATTTATAGGTAATTGATGGTGGGAGATATGTTACATTCCTTTTTGTATGTACATGTAGAAGGAAGGTGACTGTGTATTACCGGTACTTTTCAACATGTAAAATACTTAATCAAAGTGTGGCAGTGATGCCAATGTGAGTGCAATTCAGCTCTCTCATTCTTCGAATAGTCAAGCTAATGACTTAATAAAATTAGTAACAGTTTTCAAATGGGATTCTGATCTCAACTATAAATATATTTAAAACATAATATACAAAAATTATGCAGTTCCAGCAGACATTATCCTTGGTGTCTGCTCCATTAAATTATCTTGATATAGAAATCCCTTAAACTTCCTTGAGACCATTTCATATTCAATGCAGTAAAATTCACTAGTGACTGCTAAAAATTCTCTAAGGTATTAAATATTATATACAGTAATGTGTAGCTTATAATTCCAGACGGTAATATACACATGTATTATTAGATTTGAACTGAAACATCAATCAGATTTTATATAAGTTTTATACTTGACTTACTAGTTTCTGGTTCACCAGGGGTACCTGTATAATTTTTATCTTTCTCTTTTTCTTTGTTCTCCTGTTCTATCATCAAAGATCTGAATAGTGACAAGAAACATTGAATAAAATATTACAACAGGTAACATAAAAGTCATTTACCAGGGACTGGGTTTAAACTTTAACAGTAAATCTGCAGAATTTAAGTAAATGTACAGACTGGCCTGGTTGTATACTGGTGGTAAAGCGAAATCTCTGTGGGTCCCAGCAGATATAGGGTTAGATCATACTAACAGTGATAATACATGTGGTGAAAATGAAGTTTCTTATATGAAGGCCAAAGTGCCACCATCAACTCTCCATAGACAAGGGGTGACAAGCAAGTAATTTAAAGTCAAAGATCTTAATCACTCTGCTATATAGGCCATAGTTACAATTACAGCAATATTCAAGCTTTACTTGTGCATTTTTTCAGACCTAAACCACTGATCAACTTTAATTAATAATTTATCACAGCTGCATGTTAATATAAATGTAATTTCTTTCTGGTAACAGAGAGCATAGTATTACAGGTAAAATAATCATATTTCTAAATGAACAGGCAAGTCAAGCTAGTCCATGTGAGCATTTAGTTCACACTTATCCATATGAGCAGACAAGTAAGGCTGCTCCTTATATATATATTATTTAATAACATTTCAAGTTTGAATAAAGTTCCATCATTATAAGCAGAATAATAATATGAGCCTCTCTAATTAATGTCATAAATAAGCTACTAGATTTTTATTTAAACAAATATATATGATGATTATCAAACAAAATTTCAATGAATCTCCATGTACATTTTATTCATGTGGTCAGTTTTTTCAATTTTTATAACGCCCTCTTTTAAAGCTTTATTATAACAAACAATTAATGAAATATTGCCACTTACCTAAAGCTTCCATACACAATAAGTAGAATTGAGATTACAAATGTTGAAAGTCTTGATGAATCCATCATTGAAAGTGCCCTGAAATATAAAGTCAAAATGCACTGAAATATAAAGTTAATATGCCCTGAATCATAAACTTAAATTGCCCTGAAATATAAAGTTAAAATGCACTGAAATATAAAGTCAAAATACACTGAATATAAAGTCAAAATGCCCTGAAATATAAAGTCAAAATGCCCCAAAATATAAAGTCAAAAGGCACTGAAATATAAAGTCAAAATGCCCTAAATTATTAGGTCAAAATACACTGAAATATAGAGTCAAAATGCCCTGATATATCAAGTCAAAATGCACTGAAATATTAAGTCAAAATGTACTGAAATATCAATAATGGTCACTATAACAACATTATTATTCCAGACAGTGAGACAGAATGAAATCTGAAAACTCTACTGTTATCATCCCTGTACTAAACTATAATACAATAATAAACTGCAGTTTCATGCTTCATGCAGCCCAATAATTATATTGATCACTAAACTCTGGTTTATTGTATAATGTGTTCAGTAATGGTGAATTTTATACAGGCACATATTTAAGGTGAAATCTTTGAACGAATATGTCTTACAAATAATAATATAATATTACAGATTATGTCATCCGATTTGTTGCCAAACTCTTTAAAACATTTTTTTCAGTTACTCAAGTATAGCATCAAACTATCTGTAATAAATTTTATTCTAAAGAATCAATTCAGTTCCTCGGTCCTCATACAAAATAATTTTAGAAAACTGTAGGCACAGTAGCTATATTTGCATATTCTGACCTATTTTTGATAATTTTCGTAGATTTTAAGTACCAATCTGTTTGCAATGTGTAAATTACTTTCTTTGTTCACTAGCAATATTTTACTTTTTAAAAATGTTCATAAAAATGTTAAATCATCATGCACAAATCTGGTGGCATGCTGCTTTAAACAAAACTAACAAAAAAAGTTATTTTCTTGACTTTATCTTATCCTAAATAAAGAGAGGACAAAAGTCAAATCCTAAGCTCTTTGTTAAAAATCTTTTTTCAACATCATTTTTTTAAACACTTTGACATTTTTTGTGGATTATTGATTTCTATCCACTATGCTGACATTTGTAAATGACCTAGAGTACATGAAATAGAATAATAAATACAACTTTAATAGCACTCTGCAACAACAGCTGTTTGGGGACACTATGTTTAACTATGTGGAACACATGTGAACATTATAAAGGAAATATAGGAGGAATCACTTAAAACACATATGGTTTCAAACAAAGAAAATGTTTGAAACAGGACAGAAAATGGGGTACTCACATTTTCACACTATCTTACAAAGCAACCTATTTCTGTCACATAATGGAGGTAAAGGAAATGTCATAGAAAAAAAAACAACCCAAGATCACTCAAAATGTAGACTAGTGAACAATTCCCCTCCTCCTCACCCAGGACCCTCCAAATTTTTTTCCATTAATTTTTTTCCCAATATTATTCTCTTCAAGCATGCAAAGTTTAAGAAAATCATCTGTACCAGATTAAATTTTCCTTATGTAAACATCTATTTTTCTAATGATCTATAAAATTTTGAATGGACTGTTCGAATTTTAAAAGTGGGCAAATCCAGTACACAAAGTCAGCTTGTTTAAGTGTGTGCTGAATTTAGTTTATATGCAACAAGGGTAATTAAATCTTCATATTTTCAAATATATAAGTAATTACATCCATTTATGTAATAATGTATTATTCAATTTAAATACTTATTTTGCTGGTCAAGATTTCAAGATTTGCACAAACTTTATTTTTCCTCTATCTTGTTCAAGGTTAATCATCTTAACAGCTAATCACTCTATCACCATGGACAATAAATACCAGTGCTTAATAATTTGACACTTGTTCAGATCTTCTATTAAGAGTATTTGAATTTCTATCCTGTTTTTATTACAGTTAAGCAATAAATCCACTTATATTTTATCTATAAATCTATCTTCCGATCTTAACTCCTGTCATCTTATCATATTCATTTGTTTGGCTTACATTTGTAACGATATTATCACCAAAGAGGGGGGCTTTTAAAAATAGACTAGTTAGAGACAGTGGTTTTTTCTCAATTAATTTGAAAGAGGTCTTAGCCTCTTGATTTTGAGAAAACCCTTACAGTGCTAGTGGCATCTTTAACTGGTGTGTTAAAAAACAAGGGATAAAATACATTCAATTTAGTTTAAACTGACATTGATCATACTTTCACAAAATCACAATGTCATTTGCAAAAATTTCCAGATTTATATTTTAATATTTACACCAGGCTCTAAATATATTGTACATGCATGAATACACACAATGATTATTTTGTAATAGTCGGGCCACCCCAGTGTGCTGCAGGTGTGAAGTTGTGAACAAGGCAGGCACCTAAACCAGTAGATTAAAGGTTCCCTTTAACATATTTAAACTTGTTGTACTTACGAGATACTCGATGACTCGGACAACTGCTCCTCTGCTACTCCCATGATTACAGTCTATATGTTTGGTGATTTACCAACTGTTGAAAGACTAATTCTTCTTTACAACCATTGAGTTCTGGCTTATCACTGATTCCACATATGGCCCTTAATAACTCCTCACTTCATTTCAGTCAAATCTTTATGTTGTATTCTCCAGAATAGAATTACACTGGTGTTTTTATATCACAGTTTTAGCCAGATTTACATATAAGTCAAATTAACTACTCCAGTTTCTTTCATATTCCAGTTTTTAGTTTAGAAAGCAACTAATATATACTAACACTGTATATGCACAACCTGAAAGTCACAAAGAGAATTAACATACAATATAGATGTAATGTCAAATCAGACCTTTGTTAAACATTGAACTTTCTAATAAAATTAAACCTATAATTGCTCAATTTCAATAATTCAAAATCAGGAGTATCCTTATTATTACAACTGAGCACACTATGGTAGTCACAAAGGTAACTGATCATGATTCCTTTGTTGTCCTTGCAGGCCCATAAACTGATCAGACTATGATCTTAAATCAGGGACAAAACAAACATGGCTTGATAAAGTTTACTTCTGTAAGCAGATAAATAGAGAAATAAAAAGCCATAAAAAATTATAGTTTGGCTTGATCAACCCTCCCTAATAGGGGATTATCTTGTTCAGAATAAGGGCAATTAAATTAGGTTATGGTATTGAAATGTATATGTACAATATGTGAACTAAACAGAATTTTTTTAATGAAATATTTTTTTTGCATAATACATAATTATATGTAGATAAGGTTAAATTTAACCAAGTTATCTTTTTAGAATGTTTACGGTAGTAATTTCCCTTTAAGGCCAGACCAAATCTATTGTGGTGTTATGTGTTCATGTTTGTCCTTTTGTTATGGGTGATTGAACTGGTTTTGCAAGATGAGTGATGGATGATTGATTTTGGTATGCAAGTTATTTTTGGAATAAGATGATTGGGTAGCTAATATTTCTTGGTATTAAACTGACCACTCCTTTCATTGCATTCAAAGCAGTAACATCTCTGATATTCAAAATATATACTATTTCTTTATAGAAATATTGATAGAATTTATTCTTATTCATAATTATTGTTTTGAAGATCTCATCTATTTAAAACCCGGTATGTATTTGTAATTGTGAAATGTTTATAATGTATTTATTGTAATAATTGTAATTGTGAAATATGCAATTCATGAATTTTCTATTGTATAATATTTCTCTTTGTTTTTTGTATTATAATCATTTTATTTTGTACAGGTTTCTTCTACTCCTGAATAAAATATAGTAAACATCACACACTGTAACATAAACTTAATAAAAAACTCTTTGAAATAGTACACTTTCTTACGAACATTCTTAGTCCATAACAGAAAGATGCCACTGTATCAGAAAATGATTCTGCTGTTGTTGGGATTTGAACTCAGGACCACCCTCTTAAAAGCTTAAGTAACAAGACACACCACTCAGCCAAAGAATCGATTCCCTGACGCAGTAGTCAGAGGTTGTACTTATAGTTATGAAAGAACAAGAGCTTTCTGCTGTAATGCATCCCAAAATGATGACTGAATGATATATAATCAATGTAGAAACTATTCTGGTTATAAATCATAAACCATTTCACTTTTTAAGTCACATCTTTGAAACATTTTTAGTTTGTTTCACAAAGATTCAAATGCATCAGAAACAATCCTGCATAACAAGATAGGTATGGTTAACCGTACAGAAATATTTAAATCGGAGCATTGTCTTACAAATGTAATTAAAAAAAATCATTCAGAGCATTGTGGTACAGAAAAGAAAAGTGTTTTGTGACAATTAATAAACTTATTAAGTTGTTTGTTCACTACAATATTTGCTTCAATAAGTTAAATATTTTCAATGATATCCTGGTATATCACATAAGAAATTTTTTTTAAGGCAATAAAAAGTTGACAAAGGAGCGAGTGTGTTCTTTTCTTCATTCATAAAAGTTTTTTATCTTTGTATCAGACAAAAAATACCCGTATCAAGCTGTTATGCAAAGTTCACCAAAAACAGCTTAGACCTGAGCCCCAAGATAAATTTATAATATCAGAAAACCGAAAATACACTATTAATCAATTGTAAAGACAGTTCTCTGCTATCACCAGATAATAGCATGGACATTGACATTTGGATTTCCAAACCCCTGGTAATGGCCCAATTCTGCAGTGACAGTCAAAACGTACATTCCAAGCCACAGCAATAAGTAGTGAGTAAAACATATCTTGTGCTAGTTTTGTCGCACCCATTACATAACACTGGTTTGGGTCTAGCTTAAGGTCTTGAGCGTACCCGTTTATATACTATGATATGACACGAATGCCACATCAGATGAAAAACACAAATGTTAAAAAGCAGCTTACAAAGTTTTGGAAGCCAGAACTAGTTGGGGTCAATTTCAGCCATAATAATCAATGCCTTTTTGGTGAAAAAATGCCAAACATAAAAAACACTGAAACATTTGATTTAGTTTATCATTGACACACAAAGATAAGAACGTATTTTTATCAACACACAGAGATTTTCTACACAAATATCATATTCATAAATGCCTTAATAAGTTAATGTATTTTACACAGAACTATAAATAGCTTTGTAAATCGTAGATCTACCTCTACTGTAAAAAACATTTGAATAAAATTTATACCATTTTAACTATCCAAATTGATATACTTTAAACTTTCCAACAAAGGTATACCTAACGGAGATCAACGATTTTTATTAACAAAGAAAAACCACGAGATCGAGTTGTCTCCGAAATTATATCAGGATGAATGACCTGTGAAAATTATTTTCAAACACTTAAATGCATAAATCGATCGCGCTATGAAATATTCAGTTTTACGACTTTATTGATTGTACAGTTTGACGCTTTATGCAAAAGGCATTGCGATCGATTTAAAGGTGAACACTTACAAAATCATTTCTGAATTTTTGTTATTGTTTTGGTTCGACTTTGTAACCGCACAACTACCATTTCTATTTGTCAAAAATAGTTCCCTTCATTAACATACAGTTTCATCAGTAATACAATCTATTTATTTTAAAAATATTGAAAAATGCAATGGTTAGATATTTTTATTTGCAAATGAATAAAGAATTTTTGGGCAGAAAATGTAATTACGTTAATGTATCATTGGCGTATGAATTACTGCATAACATCAATGTTTCCGTATCACTGGTTTCCTTCTTTGACTGGTTCCCAAAAATGATCAGGTTGTAAGCAACTAAATCAGGACGTGATCTGTAAAACATCCCTAATGGGCACTATAAGGAACTGTAAAATTGACAACACAGGACAGTTATATGCCTTAAATGTCAACTAAATGCAAAATTTACCGTGTTTATGAAAGCTTATGGTAGAACACCCGTAATGGGCACTATAAGGAACTGTAAAATTGACAACATAGGACAGTTACATATATATACTGTATGCCTTAAATGTCAACTATATGCAAAATTTAAACAAAATTTACCGTGTCGTTTATGAGTTATGGACATTTTTCTGAATTAAAGCTTTGCCATTAGAAGGGCTTTTTTCAGAAATGAGGAAACTCTAAATAATCTATAATATCATCATTATGAAAAATGTTTTCCTATTGCTCATTGTTAAGAAACAAATAATGACATTCAGGTAACAAATTAAACAAGTAAAATGATTGTTTCTAAACGAAATGTTTTTAATATGTATAAAAATGTAACCCTACCCCATCACTTTAAACACTTATTTGACCATTTCCCTACGTAAAAGCCTTATTTAAAATATCCCTCAAATTTTCCACAATGAGGGGGTGTTTTCAAAGTTTGCATTAATTTTCTTAAATGTATATAATTGGTTGGTCATGCAAAATATAAAATACTTTTACCGTGTAGTTTTTATTTGATTAAACTTTGAAAATATCTGGTATCATATTTGCTATTAAATTTGGCATTATTTAGCAAATAAATACCTACAATAATTGTAAAATTAAAATAAAACATTTTTTTCTGCCATTAGGTATCTGAGAGATTCATAAAAAATATTAAAAAGAATAAAATAAAGAAAAAATGTTGCCCCCTTTTGGGGTTTGAACCCACGCCCCTCAGTTTCAATACAATACTCTTCAAAGTGGAGACAGTGCATTAGAGGTGTATTACCTTAATTAAAAGCAAATTACTTAAAACATTCATTTCATATCTACCTTTCTTGAATCTTGTCAAAAATAACATTCGTTTTAAGTTTAGTAATTACTATGAATGATTACAAAAAGTACTTTTCCAACATTTTATGGATTTTTTTAAAATACCCACCAAGACCATGGCATAGTCACTTAGGGTGTGGAGATCCAAACGCCACAAAATCAAAATAAAATTTTATGTTGCACTTATTATAGACTCGATAGTTGGGCTGAAAAACTATTCTATACATCTTGAGGTTCAGCTAGGTTTCAGGAAAGGTATGGGTACAACCAGAAAAAAAAACAAAAGTCATGGTGTTCAGAAAAGCTGGTAGATTACCTCAGAATTTACGCTTTTTGTGTAATGATCAGGAGTTAAAAATTGTATCAAGTTTTTAATATTTAGGTGTTTCATTTACTTTAGGTGATTCATATATTCAGCATGATAAGTTATTGCTGGGCAGGCTTCAAGATGAACAAATATTATATAAATTTACAGATTTATTACCCAAACATACACTTAATTTATTTGATAAGTTAATTATGCCAATTTTAATGTATTCATCAGAGGTTTTTTGTGTGCCCCCACCCGTTCTCATTTTATGTCGCAAGTTGTTCAAAAAGTATTTGCCCTAGAGCCATGAAATTTTACAAGAATGTTGCTCAGCATGTGAAGTTGTGCACCTGGCTATTTGCGTGTCGATTTATACAGTATTTGTAGAGTAATTGCCCTTGACTTAGTAAAAGTTTGCAATTGTCGAATTGTGTTGCAAGTAGCTCTAAAAGGTTTTGAAACTTTACAGGAATGTTGCTCAGCATGTGAAGTTGTGCACCTGGGGTTTCACTTGTGGATTAATTCTGTTTTTTTCTTCTTCAGAGTTATTACCCTTGACTTAGTAAAAATTTGCAATTTTCGACTTGTGTCGCAGGTAGCTCAAAAAGTATTTGACCTAGGGTCATTCGACTTGTGTCGCACGTAATTCAAAAAGTATTTAATCTATGGTCATGGAACTTTACAGGAATGTTGACCAGCATGTGAAGTTGTGCAACTGGGATTTCGCTTGTGGATTTATACTGTTTGTCAGAGTTATTGCCATTGACTTAGTACAAATTTGCAATGTTCAACTTGTGCTGCACATAGCTCCAAAAGTATTTGACCTAGAGTCCTGATACTGTACAGGAATGTTGCTTATCATGTGAAGTTGTGCACAATGGGTTTCGCTTGTGGAGTTTTTTGGTCAAAGTTATTGCCCTTGACTTAGTAAAAATTTGGAATTTTCAACTTGTTCATGCATTGCTAAAAATTATTTGACCTGTAGGCTTGAAAGTTTACAAGAATGTTGGTCAGCATGTGTACTTATGCACCTTGGGTTTGCTTGTGGATTTATTCAATATTTGTAAAGTTCTTGCCCTTTACTTAGTAAAAGATTTTTAGTTTAGTGGCATGTGTAGCACAAAAGATATTTGACCTAGAGTTATAAGATTGACAAAACAGTGGAGTGTGGGGGTACCCGTGTCCTATGGACACATTTCTAGTTTATAAATCAGCACATGTAGAAAGAACATATTTAACAACATATTTAAATTAAAAAAAGATTGTTAAGTGTTAAAGCATCTACCCAAAATGATTTTGTATACGGTGAACTTGGTAGATTAAATTTGATATCACATAGAATGTTTCGTGTTATAAAAAGTACATGTTCAGAATCAAAATATATTAAAAATACTTATTTGATGTTAAAGAATGACACTGCAGTTAACGAATCAAATGTAACTAACTTGGTGACTTATATTAAGAACTTACTGACAAAACTAGGATTTGAACATGTATGGTTAAACCAAGGTGTTGAAAACAAAGAACTCTTTTTATTGATATTAAAGCAAAGGATAAAAAAAATATATGGCTAATTAATTTACCTTTCCACAGTAATCAACAAGTCTCACTTATGATTGCCAGATTTATACATGTTTTATAAAGGGTTGCATTTTAATGTCCCCGAAAGGCGGCATATTAAATCGCACCGTCCGCCTGTCTAACCATATGTCTTACTGTCTGTGGTGTCTGTCTGTGCGTCTCCACCTACACACAATTCGTGTCCGGACTGTAACTTTGTCATGCATTGAAGGATTTTAAAATAACTTGGTACAAATGTCACCATCATGATGATGTGTGTGATCTGAGACTCATGGCCTTACCTAAAATGACTGAGGACGGTTAAGCGTAAAACAACAAAGAACATTTTTAGAGTGGGGAAAGATAATGGGGTACTACAGTAGGGATATGGCTGTCATAAAAATATGTCTGGGGCTTGCACGTCTACAGTACGCATAAACCGAGTGTACTTAGATTCAAAATTCAAAACTAAGCGGGCTAGAAATAAATGACACAATAAAAGAAAATGTATCAAGTCAAAATATTCTTGGGATTTTAGTAATTGTTAATAGTAAGTTAACATGGCATACTCAAGTTCATAATTTGGTATAAGTAAACTCAATTCAAAAATTGCACTTTTAAAACGAATTTCATATTTTTTGACAGATGATATGAAAATGTAATACTATAATGCATTGAAAACAGATGCAATTACCACATGGGCTTATTGGTATTTAAAAGTGAACATAATCTGGCACCAAAATATATATCTGAAACTAGTTTTTATTTGTTTGGGTTGTCAGTGGTTCTACTCAGGTGCCCATTAGTGCCTGAAATAATGCACGAAAGGGCACCTGAGGTCTTCCTCCACCAGTAAAGCTGGAACGTCGCGATATGACCTATACTGTGTCGATGTGACGTTAAACCCAAAACAAACAAAACAAAATACACAACAGGTTTACCGTGAACAAAATATATCGAAATTAATAAGGGTTATACAAACTCTAATTTAGAATAATATGGTATTCTTCAGGCTGTTATCTTATAACTCCCCGTGGTCGCTCGCATTGGAAGCGAGAGGTCTGGAGTTCAAACCCCAGTTCAGGCAACTCATGTCTTTTGTTATTGTTTTTTTTATTATTATTATAATTGTTTAATTAAACCAAATAAACATTGAATTGACTATCAGTGTTGCAATTAGTCTTATAGCCAATTTACTATAGCTATAACACTGTAAACAGCATTTGTGACACTATACAAACAAATTGGTTTATAATCTCACAACCTTCACCTTCACCTTTCTGACATTCTGAGACACAAACAAATTCAGCGCCTTCTGTACTTTGATTCTCATATTGGTATCTTCAGCGCATAAATATCTTTCTCACATCAGGCCACGGACAAATCATTTACAGACAAAGCGACACATTTATGGAATAATGGAATACATTTCCAGCTGACATTAAACTACATAATATACATAATAAATTGTCAACTAAAGGATAAAAAACCCCAACAAACAAGAGCACCGCTAGGCGGAGCATTATATGCCCGAAAGTGTTTTTTTAGTAAGGATGAAGCATTTGTAAGACATGGGAATTAGCTGTTTTACAGATGTAGGTTGATTAATACTTAAGTTATTAATAATGACCTTAACCTTTGACCTTGTGACCCAAAAATCAATAGGGGTCTTCTACCTTATATGGACAATCATCCTAAGAAGTTTGAATATTGTGGGCCAAATGGAACTTTAGATATGCTCCGGAAACTGTTTTCAATTTTAAGGTAATAGTGACTTTGACCTTGTAACCCCAAAATCAATAGG